TATATTTCTTATAATGAAATCACCACACTGAATTGTAAATTTTTTCAAAAATAATGCCTTTTTTGGAAAGCTGCAATTTTGACAAAAATCAAAATTTTGAATTTGATTATTATCTGTATTTTTTTATTTTTAGATTTGAGATGATTTTAACCAGAAAAATCTTTTTTACCGCTAGAACCTTTTTTTCAGAGTCCTCCTGCAGTTCAGTCATCCAATATCAAGGGAATCCAATCTTTCTCAAAATAAAGCGTTAATTTTTAAGTATATTAATTTTTGTAACTGTATATTTTTTTATTTATTAATTAAATAAAATCGCTCTAAGAAAATTCACAACAAAGCGTGATTTTTCGGACTTGCAATTGTATATCAAAAGGAATTAAATGAAAAAGACTATAAGTTGATAATATTAGATATGGATAAATATACTGACTTGTTAACAATGGATTTTTTAGTGACGTCAAGTTTATCCTTTTGAAATTAAGGGTGAATATGTGGGCTTCTCTTTATAAGTGTTTTCTCAGTAGAATTTCTTTGACTTTCAATGAAGCTTCAGAAAACTTTTGTTGGAAAATCTGCATTCATCTGACGGTTGTGGATTAAATTTGTATTACTTGACCATAAATAAAATATATTTTGATTCTTATTTCTCCTCCCATATCACACTTTCTTTCATTGTGGATGCTAATAGGTTTCGCATATGCCGCTCAAATTTTAAGCTGAGGTTTCCAGAATGATGCGCGCATGTTTTGATTTCTGATTCTTACAAGTGAGGAGTGACTACTTTGGTCGCTAGTCTTCAAGCATTAATGGGAATGATTAATTAATATGATTAGAAGTCCGTTATACATACATACATACATACATTTACTACCAACAATTTTTCCTGCTGGGCTAGTGGTGTATGTAAATGTATAGTTTTGAATGTATCTACTAATGTAAATAAAACAGTGACAAAGCCAGGTATCGTGTGACAACAACAGTAAAAACAGCAAATGCAAAGCAATCGACAAGTAACGTCTTAAACAAATAAAATGCTGCGTCCGTCCACCATAAGTGATACATAGCTTGACGCTGACGCAGAACTCACGAATTTCGGCGAGTTAACCAACTTTTACTTGCGTTTTCTTGGCGAAATTTTTCGTGTGTGCAATAAAAATACCAATGGGCTAACGGCAAATACAACAAAAACAACAACAGCGAGCAAAAGTTATGTGGTAGTGACAACAGCAATCGACAGCAACGGACACAAGCAACCCAAAACGGTTCATCGTAGCGGTCATAAAACGCAACAGCAATAACTGTTCTTTTGTTAAAAACCGAAATTCTTGCCGTATTGCTTCACCTTTTTCCCTCCAACTTCATTTACAGCTATTTGTAATTTTCGTCGTTTTAATTTCTTCCAGCGTTTTTGTTGTATATATTTTTATTTTTTTTTTTAATTTATTTTCATTTTCGTTCTTTCGCTTGTTGGTTTGGCAATTTGTATTTCAGAAGCTACTAAACGTAGCGGTATTTTATTGTACAAGCCAAAACATTGCGAGCGCGAACGGCTCGTCGCGGCTCATTGACCCCAAGCATGACGCCACAAAGTGTGCAGCTAACTAGGCGGTATTTTGGAAGCGATTTCATTTCGTCTCATCTGCGTTGCTGTTACTACAGCGAAAAAATTGCTAACGTACACGCATGTGTACATTCATGTATAAATATATTGTATATTTAAGTACATGGTCAATGTAAAATATGAAAAGCTATACCTTTTTCTATAATTAGCTGCCATTTAGTTAAGCATTGGCAAGCGTTTACGCCAGCACATACACACATACATATATTTACATGCATACACGTGACTGTAAATATGTAGGCATGAACATATTGTGATTTTGAGAGTATTGTGTCCATAATGAATAGATGAGTTATTGGCTTATTTTTAGAATCAGCTATTTTGTGTTGTTCTGTTTAATTATACCAAATTTCCTTTAGCGGAGCGAAATTCTTAAACACAAAGCAAAAAACTTTGCTTTCTCAATTCCTCACCAGTGCGCAGCTTGCACTTGTCAGCTTAAATATTGCTTTATGTTTAAGCTAATCGCAGCTTAGAACATAACTCAAAATAACGGTAAAAAGTATCATATTACTAGCAACACAGTAATATCGTTAACCACCCGCCATGCTGCTTTCTGATTGGCTTGAAGGCAACACACCATCGCAGCGTCGTCGTTTACGACGCCATAGCTCGGCCAATACGAAGTGTTAGACAGCCTAGCTTTGGCATCTTGACGCAAAGGACATTATAAATTTGCTACCCTTTCGTTAGTGGAACCAATTGCAAGTGATGTCGTTTGCTAATATAGTATATTTACAATATGATATCCATAGTTATATACACACATACATACTAATGTTTTGTATAAGCTCGTGCCTTTCTAAGGCCCTTTACAATGACTTATTAGCTAGAGCTAGGATTGCCTTTGTTGTATGCCTCGTTCGGTATAAATACGCATCCTGTGTGTGAAATGCTGCAGTCGGTGATGGCCCTCGGCCATGCTCGAATAGTTCAGATTTTTAAGTGAATAAGTTATGAAAAAATATATTCCTGAAATTGGTGTAGATATAAAATAAAAGTTGGCATTAAGAAACATACTTATGTATGTGAACCAAGAATGTAGTGCAATTTTGGAAAATTATGTGTAACCAAGGTATATATTTCAAAAATAAATAATAAATATAAAAATATGATTATTATGTATGAAAAAAAATGGATTCTCTGCATAATTTTAATTGCTAATTACAAATTAATAGACAACGGCACTTGGATCTACTACTACATACAGTGTGCTAATAGGGCACAGTTTAGTCTATTAGGCTTTAAGCTAGCTTAGTTCAGTGCTTAAAAGAGTGTTTGGCATCAAAAATTTATAAAATCGGTCATCGGTCTCTAGCCTCCATATCTTGAATTTACAGATTTCTACTTGTATTAGTCTACTTGACTTTAAATAAACTCTTGAAGCAATTTTTACAATAGATATAGATATTTCTTACTCGTATAAAGTTTGATCTGCATCAGTTAGAGGTCAAAAAAAAGGTACTTTACAATGTTGCTGAAGACCCTACATTCATCAAACGCGTCATAACTGTTAACGAGAGTTGGGTTTATGACGTATATGACACTTTCCAACAATCGAGCGAAAGGCGCTCCAAAAATCAGCCGAAAATATAATAACAAAAATTCGCTGAAGACACTGTAGGTCATCCCAGCCGAGACTTATAAAAAGTGTATACAAAATTGGAATAAACGTTGGCATGATTGAATTAGCTTAAAAGGAAACCATTTTGAAGTCGATAATAAAGATTTGTATTAAAGTACGCGAAAATGGCAGTCCGGGTCATATTTGATCATATGGTATATCACACGAATGGAAGCAGACAGAAATCTGAGAGCTTTAATAGATTTGGACTGACCACACAGTGTTGTGCCACTTGTTAGATCAAAATAGAGGAGAAGAAGCAAATATTTTGAATTAAAAAAATTACAATGTGTTTGAGATATAAGAAGATAAGTTCATCCCAAATTTCGTTAAAAAAAAAATTTTTTTGTAAAAGTTAAAAAAAAAAAACCAAAAACTTGGTTATTTGAATTTTTTACATAAATTTTCAGGTAATCTGAAAAGAATCTAAATACAAAAGTTGTATATAATTTCATTACCTAACACATTGCCGTACTTGTTCTATAGGACTTTAACGAAAATCGGGATAAAATACTTTTTACCATTAAAAATTCAACACCGCCCCTCCTCTTCCTCTGCCCGAACTCAGATCGCCCGTAAATCATTTTTCCTTTAATGTTTGTCGTTTTATCTTTCGTTTCCAATGGATTGTAACCCAATATGAATTACTTTCTTTTTTAATAATTTTCAAAGGCTTCTGCACTAGTCTCTCCAATTCTTATACCGGCAATAACGTTTTCGCCTTTATTCGATAGCTTTGTTTTTGTTAGAATTTCGCTATTTGTAGTTTTTCAGTATTTTCGTGCCACTCGTAAAGTAGGTATGTCAAAAATAATTATAAAAAATTTCTCCAAACTCATTACGTGATACTACAAAAAATTAAATTCAAATGAATATCAAGTCTCAGAAAATCTCACATTCTTAACTAATTACATAGGTCAAGAAAGCTCAATATTATAACTGACAGTGCCGTCCTAAACATTTACACTTACGAAGGGCTATATTTTTCCCATTAATTTTGACTAAACTAATGCGAGCGTTGTGAATTCATTTTGCATATTTTTTTTTACAAAACTGTTTTTGTTGTAACAAAAGCAAGCTGTGAAACAGTTATGCTGTCGTTAGGACAAGTTAACCGAAAGAGCTACTGATTGTACACTACTGAAGTAAGAAAAATGCTTTCATACGAAAATTTTTATATATCAGGGCAGTTATATTCCACATCCTTTTATTTAGTATGTAAATATTATATATGTACGTACCTGCATAAACATATTGAGTAAATATAAATATTTCTATTCACAATTTACAGTGACCCCACCGTGTATCGTGGTGCATTTTTCCGAGCCCAAATGTCAACTAATTGTCATTTTACAATAACCAATTCCAACGCCAAAAAACAACAACAGCGCAACACCGCCAACGGCCCACCCAACACCCCTAACTGCATGAATATTAACGGTACACGCTTTTGAAAATATTTTCGCAGCTGTTACGTGTTTTCGGTAAGCGAACATTGTCTATTCTCATTTCCACGCATTCTCCCCAGCAAAATAAAGAAGCCTTAGAAAAGATCGATAGAAACACTTTTTTTGTTTGTGTGTGTGTGTGTGTGCTTTGAAACCTTTTTTGCTTGAGGTGCTTGAGTCACTTGTGTGTGTAGGCGTTCACTAGAATCGTAGGCGAATTTATTTTTCCGCAACGAAATTAACGCAGCAACCGTAGAAAGCGAGTTTTGCGTTGCAGCAGGTGCCAGGTAAAGGGCCAAAACGTAAGACAAAGCGCACTTCGTGCATTCGCCCACGTAAATTAGTTTTTCACTCATTTGAATTTTTATTGAGCTTTGCGGAGCCGCATTAGAAACCACAAATCGTCATTCTCGATTTTTGCCCAACGCAAATATCCAAAATCGCGATTTGTGGTTTCATATGCGAACTCCAAAGGTTTAATTGAAATAAATTTAGATTTTTTCTTCTAAATTTTCGCTTGCAATAAAGTGACTCCGAGGAATTTCTCAAATTCAGTTTAAAGTGCGGTTACTTTGAAACACACAACTGGAACCACAGCCAAGGACGGGCATTGAATAATTCGAAGTTGAGCAGCAGCCGCCTTTAAAATAGCATGGATGTGAACGAATACCGACGACGGGGTGAGTAATAAAATGAAATTTATATATTTTTAAGTCAATCTAAATGAAACTACAAACAGTTACATTAAATGGTGTGAATGTAAAATTGCTTAGGAGCAGCTAGGAAAAGAGTTTGCACACAAACCCCCATTAACTACTTGTAAGTCCGCTCTGTGGGTGTTCATATATAAAAAATGCATTTACTGCATCAACATTCGGAAGACACAGCTAGCGCAGCAGCAGATCCCGTTAGTCCAATTTTATTCGCATATAAATTTCAACTTAATTTAATTTGCCAATCCTTCGGAAAATGCAATAAAAATAACAATAACATATGTACAGTGTGAAAACCAATGGAAATCAAAATGTACGTGTGTGTGTGTGGGTGTTTGTGTCAGCTTTGCGTCTCATGTAAAATCATTTGGACATTTGCATTCCATAGTCTAAACTTTTCGTTTCGCTCGCACATAATCAGATTTTCAGAATTTCTTCTGACATTTGGTTTGCCTTCTCCACTTTTCCACTTTCACCCATCCCTTGTCGCTCGGTTCGGTTTTGCTTTGCATTCTGTCTTGTTAGCCAGTTTAGCGAAAAGTACGTTTCAGCATTTTTTGATTTTTTCCGCTTTTATCCCTTTCGCAGCAATTCGCATTGTCCAACATTTATTTTGAAATACGACTGAAACCCCATGAATCATTGCGAAATTTAAACTCAATGCAAATAAGCTGACTCTTTACAACGTCATATGACTAATGGAATAAAGTGAAAGTATCTCTTTTTTGTTTAATCTTAATTTTTTGATTTGTTAAGCGCGCATTACTATGCAGTGCGAGCTCGTTTATAAAGTCTTTAAATGTTGTTGTGAAATGCCAGCATTAAACGTACCCCATAAATCTTCTTTGGAGTGCCACTTTTTAAGGTCCGAGCTCACATATATTATAAAAAATTAAGCAAAGTAATTGTATTAGCATATACGAAATATGGCATATTTGAGAAAAAATCGAAAATTCTACAGTGTAGGTCCTTGTGAGTCAAAAGCTTAGATATTCAACAAATTTGTGGCAGACTATAAACGCTTTGTTGATTTTGAAAGTTTTTTCGTTCAATACTGAGAAGTGTACATATTTAAATATCACAATAGACCTGCGTTCTCAGCTGTTCAAGTAGAATCCGTTTTTGAACGCTAAACATTTACTTAAAAGTAGAAGTTCGTGAGATCCCTCTCTGCCGACCTATTGATTTATTAAATAAATATAATGTTCAACTTTTAAAAAGTAGATCGCACAATCTCAGAGCAATTTTATGAAACTTGAGAGTCGATGTCTGGGAAGCCAGCTTACTTAAAATCAAATTCGTCACAAATAATTGTCACATGACTAAAAAAATAAAGATTTACTTTCTAAAGATAAAAATCAAGCGTATGACATTCTCATTCGACTTACGTTCTAATCAAACGTTATTAACTTTGATTTTATATATTTTTTTAAAAACACCAATTCGTTGTATTCTTGTCAGGCAAAGAGATGGTGGACTATATTGCCGATTATTTAGAAAACATTCGTGATCGTCGCGTGTTTCCCGATGTCAAACCCGGTTACATGCGCGGTCTGTTGCCCGAGTTTGCACCGGTCGAAGGTGAAAATTGGGATGCCATATTCGCCGATGTGGAACGCGTCATTATGCCAGGCATAACACATTGGCAAAGTCCACACATGCATGCTTACTTTCCAGCGCTGAATTCATTTCCTTCACTTCTCGGCGATATGTTAGCCGATGCGATTAACTGTTTAGGTTTCACTTGGGCCAGTTCACCCGCTTGCACGGAACTCGAAGTGATTGTGATGAATTGGTTGGGCAAAATGATTGGCTTGCCAGATGATTTCTTGCATTTGCATAATAAAAGTCCAGGCGGTGGTGTCATACAGACGACGGCAAGTGAAGCTACACTGGTGTGTCTGCTGGCGGGACGCACGCGAGCCATACAACGCTTTCACGAACGTCATCCCGGCTTTCAGGATGCGGAAATCAATGCGCGACTAGTTGCCTATTGTTCTGATCAGGCACACTCAAGCGTGGAGAAGGCAGCGCTAATAGGTAAGTATTCCGCTCAGCTGAAATTTTAATCAGCTTATGAGCACTCTCACACCTGTTTCGTGTCCTCTCTTTCTTTCATTAATTAATTCACAGGGCTTGTACGTATGCGTTTCATTGAGGCCGACGACAGCTTGGCGATGCGTGGCAAGGCGTTGCGCGAGGCCATCGAGGATGATATTAAGCAAGGACTCGTGCCGTTTTGGGTAAGTCTCCAACAAAAAATTAACAAATTATTTATATCCTATTAAAATTGATTCAGCAAAAGAGCTTAGCTATTAAATACGGTGACTATTCCTCTTCACCAATGTCCATTAAAGTAGACGCGGCTGCTCTTAGCTGATTGCCTGTTACCCCTTTGCGTCGGATCCCATGGGGACCAATTAATATTGAAAAGTCCACGTGAAGTAGATGAATTCACCGCTAAGTCACTTGTCGGCAGGCGGCACATGTCATGTGTCATACAAATTGCTTCGTATTTTGTTACAATGACTCCAAAGAGGATTAAGTCTTACATTTGCTGCCAGCAAAGTAATCACAGTGTTTTGCGCATATCGGAATCAGCGAAGAATCATTGGAATGGGCATTGGTGAAAGAGAGATGGCAAACAATAAACAAAAAAATAAGCAACTGGTACTTTTGAGAGAAATAGTGCCTTCATAATTCAAAGGAAAGGGAAATGTGCGAGTGTGCTGAAGCGGCCTAGTTTCGTATTTAAGCAAATTGAGCAACGTAGTCTGCTCAAATGGGGAATGGAATAAATAGAATAAATGTATATATCGAGGAACGATTACCTGAGCTCTTTAGTGATCAGAATGAAAGTATATAATGAAATATCTCAAAGTTTCGGATATGAATTTTTTTTTATTCCGATTGTTAGTGAACACCTAATACTTGTTTAGGATATCTAAATTCTTATTATCATATCTTAAGTATTTTACTACGAATTTTTCTTATTAGATTATATACTACTATAATTTGATAGTAGTTTGGTGGAGATTCTCTTTTATTTCTGTCGAGTTTTTTAAATTTATGGATTTTATAAAATTTAAACTTTCTCCGTATGAACCTAGGTTTTATAAAACTTTTTTATATCAGACGTGAAATTTTCACCATCATTATACATCAGTAGCTCTGTTCATCTTTAGCGATGATTTTATCTAAGGATACCACTCTTCCAGATCTATAAAATTGACTGAGAGACAGTACTTTTATTTTTCATATTTCGAAGATATTTTATTTTCCTCCACTCTTTCTTTTTTGCATCCTGCTTCGAAAATAATTTTTCAGGTTTGCGCCACGTTGGGTACCACAGGTTCCTGTTCCTTCGACAATTTGGAAGAGGTACGCACCCATTAACTTCTCACAATTTGAAAGCCATCAAAAATATTTACTATATTTTTACTGCACACAGATTGGCATAGTGTGTCGCGATTTCAATATTTGGCTCCATGTCGATAGCGCTTACGCAGGTAGCGCTTTTATTTGCCCTGAATTCCGCACCTGGCTGCGTGGCATTGAGAAAGCAGATTCGATTGCGTTCAATCCATCTAAGTGGCTCATGGTGCATTTTGACGCGACGGCATTATGGTAAGCGATATTTCGATCTAAGAACGCTATTTACAGCACATTTTTCGTTTCACTGCAACAATCACATTAGGATTAAGGACAGCACCGCCGTGCATCGCACCTTCAATGTGGAACCACTTTACTTACAGCATGAAAACTCGGGTGTCTCCATTGATTACATGCATTGGCAGATACCATTAAGTAGACGCTTTCGCGCTTTGAAAGTTTTCTTCGTATTGCGTTCGTTCGGCATTAAAGGTCTGCAAAAGCACATACGCGAAGGTGTACGATTGGCGCAAAAGTTCGAAGCGCTTGTATTGGCCGACCACCGTTTCGAGATACCAGCTAAACGGCACTTGGGTAAGGCGTGGATATTGAAATTATAGTAATGGCAATAATAGTGTGACTGCTTAAAAATTCCAGGCATGGTGGTGTTTCGCATTAAAGGTGACAATGAGATTACCGAACGTCTCTTGAAGCGTCTCAATCATCGCGGTAATCTGCATTGTATACCATCCTCTTTGAAAGGCAAATATGTCATACGGTTCACGGTGACCTCTACGAATACAACTGTTGACGATATTGTTAAGGATTGGAATGAGATAAGACGCGTGGCGTCCATGATACTTGATGAAATGAATATTACAATATCGAGTAGAAATAAAGTTTACCTAAAAGGTAAGTTTAACATTCTAATTGCCCTTTTTTAATAGCTAACAGTATTATAATATGAGCATAATCTGATGAATTCTTCGACTTAAGTAAAACAGCAGAAGTGTGTGTGAATATATGAAGAACTTAGGTATGAAGTGACGAATGAAGTTTGGCGATGTATTGCGAAGATTCTTTAAATAAGCGCCTAAAACTATGCAACTTTCAGCTAACACTATGATAAAGTGTAAGAAGAGCGGACTTACAAAGAACTGTGCTTTATTGCAAAATAACTTTCAAATTTAGGGCTTTTTTATAAAAAGTGATATGGGCTGTTAGAAAATAAGTCGCTTCTTCTGACAGCTAGATCTTACTAATAACTCAAAATTTAAGGTGATTATGTATCTTTGCTTCACCTAGCTTAACTCCTTCAGCTGGGTGAAGGAAAGACTTTCAATGCACCGCAGCATGAGCGCGCAAACCGAGTCGATAGAATTTTTTCCTAGATTGCTTCAATCATACCACGAACATAAAGTTTGATCTCCCTATGTCAATTAGTGTGAGCTTGACGCGAGAAATTTGTCTGGCGACTTTTACTATGTAAAAAGAAATCGAACAACGAATTTGCTTGAAATTTTGTGTTTCCAATGGAATCACGGCTACGGAATTAATGAAAATGTTGCAGAAGTGTTTTGTGGAGTCTACTTTATCGCAAACTTGGGATTATGAATATGACGTTGAAACTATTAGACAGTCTAGCGAATGGTGAACCGAAACCGAAAAAACTACCAATAATCCAGGTGCTGCTAATCGTTTTCTTTGATTACCGTAAGTTCATTTCACAGAGTCAAACGCTCAATAAGGAATACTACTTGACCGTTTTAAGGAGTCTATGTGAAGTAACTCGTCATAAACGACCGGATTTTTGGGCAACAATTTATTGAAACGAGAGTCATCGCTCAGCTACCGTGTTAGCCAGATTTGGCTTCGTGTGATATTTTTCTGTTTTCAAAACAGAAAAATCCGCTTCGGGGAACGAGTCATGAGTTCATTGAAAATCTTTCGCTGAAGGCATTGAAGGCTTATTTTGTAGGCAAACAATTCTTATTGTATTAAAATACGTAAAAATATTGTCAGTCCGGTTAAATTTTGATCATATGGTATGAAATTCTTTAATGGACATATTAATTCCAAGAAATATCAGTGTAAGGATATTTTTTGGTTACGTTATTATACATAGCAAATATACATATAAAAAATACCCAACTATCTTAACACCTTTTACATAACCTTTGTAACTTCACAGATACCAAGGATAAAAGCGAAGCTTTCGGCTCCAGTCTATTGCTCTCAAACTCACCACTCTCTCCCAAAATCGTCAACGGTTCTTTTGCGGCAATATTTGACGCCGACGAATTTTTGGCTAAAACCTATGCTGGCGTACGTATTGCTGTAAGTTTCAACGAATTTCATATTTACCAGCACAAACCCTAACAGTTTTTCATATTCACCACTTGTTTAATTTGCACAGCACCAAGAATCACCATCGATGCGGCGACGAGTGCGCGGTATTCTTATGTCTGGTAAAAATAAGTGGACCTTGTGTATTGTTATTTACATATATGGGTTACCATCTATAATATTATGAAATAACGATATATCTTGTCTCATTATAAACAGGCAAGCAATTCTCACTAGACTCCCATATGGATGTGGTTGTGCAGAACTCTTTCGATTCGGGTACAAATAATTCTAGCACCGAAGCAAATGGCACTACAACACCAGTTAAAAAGAATAAAAATCCAAGCTCGATATGCGAAGATAGTGAAGAGTCCGCGGAAGGTATGCCGTCAAGGTAGAGTAGTCAGCTAATCGCTTCTGCAAATGCTAAATGTTGTATTGTATTTATATTTGTTGTTGCTATTGTTTTTATTTTTCGTAAAGCTTCACCTGCAACGGAGTGTAGTGAAAGCCAGGCTTGATAAATACATTGATATATAAGTATTTTAAGTCAATATCGGAAAGGGTGTAGGAAGTTTCTGTGGGCCCCAAAGGGAAAACTTGAAAGAAAACAATAAAAATCAGTTTTTTCATATTAATTGAAGAATATTGCTATAACTTTTACATCATAATCTCACGCTATGTGCACCCTTTACCGATCACTTGTACACTATATTCGTGAGGTATTTACCTCTATCAACGCACCTTGCTCAAATAGATTATCCAACGGTTAAACGTACCGCAACGCCGCCCGCCTTCTCCACGATGAAGATCGCGGCTGAATATCTGAGCCAAAATTTGATCTTTTCTACAAAGAACCTCGCATCGCCACGTCGCAAAAGCACCGCCACGCAAACACCGCAACATCACTACAAACCATTGCATGCCACCTTAGATGAAGTCTCCGATGAGACATCCGAGGACTTGCTGTCGGAAAAAAGTGTACTGGATAGCGCGAATGTGCAGCTGGTGGCCGCAAAATGCAAACTGCTCTTGGCAAACACACTACCAACACTTGCCACAACCTCCTCCACGGCGCCTGCCTCGCTGCGCACAACGCCATCACCGCCTTTGTTAGTACCGCCTCAACAGCGCGCAGGCAATAATAATTTCACACAGCAAATGCAAGCGATTAGTAACGCGGCAAGCGTTTCAACGCGCACGATAATTCGCGCCAATACAATGCAAGAGATCTATCATGGTAAGCGTTACCTCGACACGGGCTTGGCTGTGGGTCCCTCTAACAATTACTTCTCCAATACTATAATCAATGCAAACACGCCGAGCGGCGGCACCACACCGACTACACCAAGCGCCGAAACACCGGACGCTGAGTCGCAATGGAGCGCGCTATTTCACAGTTTCGATACCGCGCCCGCACCTACAGTGCGCGGTGTGAGCTATTTGAGCGGTCGTCTTCTCAATATGGATAGCTTTTCGGCGCGCTCCACTTCAACGCTACCAAGTATTGACGAAAGCGCTTCCGAATGCATGTCCATCTCTTCGACGTCCACGCCTGCTGACACATTCAGTATGTCTGCGCAATTGTTTTCGAATCGGCACAATGTAACACGATTTTACAGCGCACCTAACGCGCGGCCGGGAGCGCAGGTGTTAGCGACACCAGCGACAATGACAAGCACGTTGGCGTCGTTTTCGTTAAACGCAGCGACACTTTCCGAGGACGAGGCAGACGCGGATGCGTGGCAAGTGGCGCGTTGTGGCAGTTCCGAGGACTATTCCATCACTTCATCGGGTGCACAATCGCGTTCTTCGTCGTTAGATCTGGTTTGATTTTGGCTGAAAGTGAGCTAATGTGATAGTTGAGGTGAGTATGTATACATACATACAGTGGTTGTTAGGGTTTTAGTTTATGATGAGCTGGGTCTCAGTTTGAGATGAAAATATAGAAGCAAAGTAATATATAATATATAATATAACGGAAACTCTAATGGTATGGAACGAATTTGGAAAACTAGACACTAAAGCTAATGAATTACATGGAATTTGCAAATATACATACGTACTATATTCAAGATTTACTATAAAGAGATATGAAAAAATTTTAAATAAAAAGGTATAAAATGTTAGATTATTAGTAAAGCCTTATATTTTTTGTTTATATTTTAATTACGTTGATTTTATACATTTTACAAAAATATTTCTTTAAATAATTGCAATTTATTTAAAAAAATATTTTTAAAAAATCTTTCAACATAAAAATTATTTTGTTAATTTTTTGTTTCCTTTTTATTTATAATTTATTTGCTATTTCGGCATAACTTGCAAGAATGTTTTCAAAGTAGCATTTTTTTTTAAATTTTTAAAATATATTTTTATGATTTTTAAATATTTTTTACCATTTTTAAATATTTTTTTTATTTATTTTTATATTATTATCTATGTCTGTATTTTAGTTATTTTCTTATATTTTATTTTTTCTTCCAAATAAAATTGGTAAAAAAAAGAATATGAAAAAATTAATATTTCCTAAAAAGTAGCGTTCTTCTGCTGTGCTAGCAATAAATAGTGCATAAAAATCTACTAGAAACGTAGCAAAAATCCAAAAAAATATAAACGTATTTAATTATTAAATCTATACTTACATATATACTATATCTTCTTTATTATATAAGCATATAAAGCAAACTCCAAAAATACATATATATATATATGTTGGGGAAATTAAAAAAAAAACCAAAGTAAATTGAATATAAAAAAGTATTTAATATGGTTCGGATAAAATAAATGTGCGTTGGACTTACTACTGAAAGGAGAAAATGCAAGCTTGCTCACTTACTATATCTTACTTTAGCCAAATATGTTACCATCTTATTGAAGATGCTATATAATATAACCAAAAATACATAAATATAACCAAATATTATCTATATTATCTATATCAAGTATATCTTACTCAATTGTTGGGGTGTGTCCCCCCCAAAAGTTATTAACATATATGAAAATCACTGACTAATAATGAACAATTTTTCTTGCAACCAACAACTTAGCCAATGCGAACACTGAGAATAAGTCTAGAATTAAGGGGAACAATATATATTATACGTATTAATCAAAATATTTATGCTTGCTATGATTATAACCAAATATAAATAAATTATATATATATATATATATGTAAATTAAAATATATAAGAATAGTCTGCATGCTGCATACATATGTGCGCTAGGCAGAGTTGTAGATCGTACGAGTTATATTTACATAAATTCATAAACGAACATAAAAACTTATAAAAAAAAAGATAAAATGTGTAATGAAAATGTTGGAATTGTGGATGGAAAACTCGGAAGTTAAGCTTATAGGTACATAGTTAAAGAAAGCTAAAGGAGAAGAAGAGCGAGTAATAAAATATTAAAATAATGCTTAAATATTTAAAAACCAAAGCAAAAAATACAAAAAAAAAAAAATTTCCAACATGTTAAAGGACAATCTGTGCTAATTTCTAATTGTGTAGCAGTTTACAACACTGCAAATGTCAAAAAAAAAATTAACTGTGTTTTTAAATGGAGTTACTCACATTATAATACAATGTCTGTCTAATTACAAAAATTAACCTAAATGAATCGAAAATAAATGTTCCGGTGTTATTTAACACTGTTTAAATGAAAATCTTTCAAAGATCTTTTATTCACCACACACATGCATCATACATTAACAGTTACATAATATTCATACTTTTACTAAACAAAGAAATTATCGCAATTTTATCAAAACTTCTCACAAAATTTGGAATTTGCACAATTTACAGATAAATTGGTGCCACATTGTCACTGCCATCGTTATACAGCGCGAGGTCGTCAGAAAGCGATCTGTTCGATGCGCCAGTATAGTTTCCACAACTGATTTTGCAAAATAAGAAAATTTTTCATTCAAAATTTGTATACGATTTTCAACGCATTGCATTTCTGATACCCACCATGAATCACCGTAGAGGGATAGGCCACTGCCGCCTGCAAACTCATATATTTTGGCAATCAGTAAGAAGGACATAATCAATAGGATTGTTAGATCGTGATAGAGTATAAGCGCGGCTAGCAGATAATCATTTAGACGCATTTCCGCGTAACGGTAACCATTTATAGTTTGCGCATGGTACATGAGGAACTGAAAGGATGGCAAAGAAATGAGTGTAATAGTCGTAATGTTGTATAGTAAAAAATTCAAATCAATAACAGTTTTTAAAACTGACCATCAGCACCGTTATTATTATGATCGTTGAATATATGAAAAAGGCTATTTTAAGGCCCGCCAAAAGCTGCAGCATTACGAAGAATACCGAGGTAATAAAAAATATTACAGCAGCTACAAACAATATCACAACATCCAGTGTTAAATCGTGCTGAAAGAAAACATAAATGCGTAAGTTGTGTATACATTATATAATATTCAAAGAGTATTTTTTTTTAACCAGGAAAAGGTGAAATCTCACAGAAAACTTTTGCCTCGGGGATTAATGGCTTAAGTTTAGGTATTCCAGGAGTGATATGAACATACATTAACAAAACGAACTGTCAATATATGTTCATAGCGATTGTAGAAAGATCCCTTCTTTCGTTGAATATGTCATGAACTAATGCATTTTTTGTCGATAACAGTAATTGTACGTAATTGTACTCATATATGAATACATCCGGGGCAAGCTAGACGGAAACGGAACTACAACTTGTCATATTTTTGATTAAAATTAAGTCGATACAATCTATTTCGCGTCATGTTACGTCATAAACGAAACGAACTGTCAAATTTTTTCAAGAATTAATGAATTTTTCTGCGTATGAAAGTACTCGTGATTGTAGTAATCTTTATAGCTATCAATACGATATAACCAGGCAAGCTCGAAAGAAAATTTGAGCGTGATTCTGGCTCGTCGGTTTGTGGGTTAAATTTCATGCCTATGCAAAGGTTATTTTCTACATCGCCCATAAATGTAAATGTATATATTAGTACGCTCTCAAAGTAACGCGGCACTTACACGAATGTATACACCGATCATTATGAAGGCAATGCCCAAGATAGACACGAACAGCAGGGTTATGCCGAAAAGCGCCAGAGTTGGTTCGACAATAGCGCGCGAAATGCCCCAAGTTGTCATGAGGACCTATAAATAATTTGTATTTTAATTTGTGGTACGAAGAACTTCGTTAAATACTTACAATGACAATTGTTATCAACCAATTGACGGGCTTCGCAAAGCGCAGATTTTCGAAGAATACGAAAGATGTCACCAACAACATGCCGATAAGAAGCGCAATTATTGAGATATATGAAGAGTCAATGATAAAGTTGCGTAATCCATCACTAAAATGCAAACAAACGAGAAAGACGTTGAGGTCAATGAGAACGTCATAGTCAAATAAACACTCACAGCGTAATCATTAAGATCCATTGTACGATTGAGATGCAAAAGAAGATCACTGTTAAACTATAGGCAATGCAAGCGAATCGTGAGCGATCTTGTCGGTACTGATATAAACGCGGTGTTCTGCTATCATCATCCGCCATTCTGCCATTTGGCACACCAAATACACACCGTAATTTGGTTAATGAATTCAGTAAAGTATTACTAAATGTTGAGTATTTTTAACGTTTCGTAATTTTGTTTGAATTTATTTTTGCCGTTTTTTATTTACACTAAATAAACTTGTAATTTTCAAAACAATGAAATTTTCTTCTTCCACACAAAACGTAAACATATATTTTTTTTTGGAATACTTCAATAATCAAAAACGAAAAAGAAGCACTGATTAAATAAAATTAAGTGGGAGAATTCACAATATTTATTAGCACTTAAAAAACGGACAAGGTTTCCTAACTATTCACTGATGAACATAATCATCTCCCCAACTTGTTTGGACCTGTTATCAGCACTCAAAATGAAGGATCTGAAAAGTTTTAGATTGTAGTTTTCATTACTGCTTGGGCGCTTTCCACAATATCTCTGATGATTAATAACTTTATTCGAACAACACATTTTCTATATTTTTGGAGTTGTGTAGGCTTTTTTGTGTGATCTCAGAAGCTTCCAACTGCCACAGAATATACACGTATACTGATCTTTTAGAAACACTGACATTGGGGTGATAATTTTTAATATGTATGGGTTTCAAACTATGATGAACTAACATAGCAATATTTAAGTTTCCAAATTTCTATAAAGGTTTTGGGAAACCCCATATTGTTCCAGATCTAGAGCACGTCTCAAAACACTCTACTTCAAAAATCATTAACTAGTTTTGATCTGTTTTGTTTTCGGCGACTCAGACTTCTACAAATCTATATAAACCTTGTAAGTTCTAGAAAGTTATTTAAATATATTAAAGACCCATTTTATAAGAAAAATCAAATCTAAAAGACGCTGCGCCAATATCTGTGTAACATTATCAAATATGTACAGGGTGGAGCATTTTATATATACCATATATGCATATATTTATATATGTGTGGTGTGGCCACACCAATAAACAGAAACCATAAATAAATTACATAAAAAAACAAAATCAAAAACAAAAACAATAGTAAATTTTTATTACATCGGGAACAGCATTGACATCGAACGTCAACAAAGTGTAAAAGCGTTTGCTGTTACAATTCTCTTTGTATATAAATAATAAAGATTTAGGAACTCTGAAGTGCAATGCCGTTGGTAAAAGTAATCGGCGCACAGCCAACCATCGCGGCGGCGGCTGCAGTAGCGATCGAAGCCGCCGCTTATAATAGACAGCAACCGGATGATATTCCGGCTGAAGCGCTAAGGAAATACAAATTACCAGTGGTGAAAGTTGAAGAAGAAGAAGAAATTCAGTTTTTTGGTAAAATTCCACTGTGGCAGGACGACACGCCGGAGGGTGTACTCGCCATGCGTAAAATACACACTGACTTCATAGTTGAGGTGCATTTGCACGCGCTTGGCTACTTGGTTGTGAGCATTACTCAGTGGATATTGATATATAAAATGTATGAATATTTTTTGTTGTGCTTTCGAAGTTCATTGAACCCTTAAAATTATTACGCTTTGATTTGTTATCTTTTTTTTCGTTTTTGCTTTTGTTACAGCGACGCAATTGCCGATTATGTGAAAGCGCATTACTGCATTTCATTGCTGCCGTTTGTCTTGAGTTTCACAATGCTGATCGCCTTGGTATTCTTTTATGATGACATAACGAAGGGGCGACATATGGCGGTATTTTACTGTTATACAGTAATAATGGTACGTTCAATAACTGCCTGAAAGTATACTATACCGGATATAGCTAAGCCACCGTGCTGCTCAACTGCACTTATACTTTTAAGCAAAGACACTATCAGTAATCTGAATACTGTTCGCCGCTTTTTTTTATACATGTGTGTCACGTTGAAGGACATCTGAGGATCATTTTTATTCACGAAGTGCATACGTTACATTTACAACTCCTCCAACCGAAGATATTTAAGTACTATTTGTGAACTAAAATTAACTTATTTCTGCTAGTCACCACGATCAGCATTATATTCAATTAAATTCAAAAATAATTTGTGCCACTGAGTACTTCGCCCATTCCCACTGTGGTCGAAAATGACTTCGCATTTAGTTGCTCGTGAAATAGTGTTGCACACTTTTAGGCGGTATAACTTCGACATAACAAACATATGTATGCGTAATATTCATAGCCTACTATTCAATATGTATAATCGAAAGGCGCACAATAGACACACAAATTACTGTACCAATACAAATATGCTTACACATATATATATTATATATATATATATATATATATATACATATATACATACAAATGTGGTCAACGTATACCCACTAACTTTAATATTTCCGAAGCTTGAGTTGTCCAGCGTCCCAGTAGCAATGCCATTGTCCTCATACAATTTGACTCAATTGATGAGTTCGGGTTTCATATCAACAGTTGTCATAGTAGCAGGCATCTTAATCGCGCATTCAAAAAAAGTAAGTACTCATTTTGCGCGCATGACAAGGAAGACAGTAATTTTGCTTTATTCCCTACAGGATTTTTATGTATATAAGCCGGCATTTATATTCGCTTGGACATGTCGTTGTTTTTTAGTCGCCTCAATGGGTATTACAATTGGTATATCACTGCAAAGTCCTTACTTCGATGTGGTTATGACATTAACAATGACATTTTTCATGTCACTGGTAAGTATTTGAGATAAAACGTGCAACTAGCATACAAACATACAGTTTTTGCGCTAAAAAATATCCAATTGAAACAAGCTCTTTATTTTCAATTTAAACCGTGCCTAAATGAGGTAAACTATTGTACCTCATGTATTTAATTTGGGTTAGCAAACTAACAGCTACAACTTTGAGAAGGGGCATTCAAATATAAAATTTAACGCTCTACAGAAATGTGTTTTTTACCACAAAACTACTACTTTAAAGTTATACACATTTAAAATGATGCATCAAATGTACTGAGCATTCATACAGTACACCATGTCGTATGAGCAACACAGAATTTATAAGGCGCTTGTATGAACGCTCAATTAATATTATATATAACTTGGATTGGGCTTAACTTCTAATCACATGATTCTATGGAAAAAAACTAAGGAGATCTTTTAGAACATCACTTTTTTAAAGTTAAAGTTAAAAATTAACATGATTTAGGCACGGTTCAAATTGAAAATGAAGAGCTGGTCTACGTTGGATATTTTTTTTTGGCAAAAAATTTATTTTTAGGTTGCGTTTGTAAACAAAAAAATAACAAGAAAAAACGGTAACATTGGTTGCACCAAAGCTAGAATACCCTTCACAAATAAAGAAGTTCAGTTTGTATGGCACTTATGTTATATGCTATATATAGTGGTCCAGTCTGAAATGTTTCTTCAAATATTGTATTTTTCGCGTGGACAATAATCCATGACAAATTTCGTGAAGATATCTGTTGAATAAAAAAGATTTTCATACAATAACCAACTACACAGTACAGCAAATTAACAAATAAATTATTGTTACGCATTATGCGATTTACTTTAGTATTTTATAAAAATTATTTGCAGTACATCTTGATGTGTGCGAAAGCTATAAGCAGTGCCGAGTTTATTTGGATGGACACATATGGTCCGCATATGTATGGATCGTTGTTCTATATAAACTACATGACACTCTTCTCGATGAGCATATTACTCTTTGTGGAACTGGATGCAGCAATGAAAGTATAATACCAATAGCCAAGAACAAAAAGAGAAAGAAATAGTGTATAAAGTTCATCGACCCAGCTTCAAGTTAATGATTATCTTTACGTTCTCTTCTTTTTTTTCTTCTTGTAATTGTATACAAGAAAATTTCGTTAAAATTTACACAAAAGTCAAACAACAGCTGTTCCATAAATAAATATGTTCCTCATGTATATGTATATAAATGTGTATATGTATATATATTTTTTACATATTGTATTTTGCCATGCTATTACTATTACTTAGTGGAGTAATAAACGCGTTTAATGTTTTCCAAAATGTTGCTTAATTTATTTTGTATGTGTATAGTTTACATTTTGTAAATAGTTATTTTTTGTTTCTCTCATACACCGTTAGAATATGTATATTGTGTAAATACTTCGAAAACGCTAAAATCAGCATTAAAGAATTTTGTTTATGTAAATATACATGCATATAGATATATATGTATGTATGCTCTGTTTATGCATATAACAGCAATATAGTTTTACAAATCGTTTTAATATATTGAATATGTAAAAATGTCAAATGGATTTTCGGCTTTTTAACAATTAAGAGTACGACAAACGTTTTTATATTACAAAACAATTAAACAAACACAAAATTAAACCAATACTTTGTTTTGTTTTACATTTCAAATTACAATTTCATTCAGATATCCGTTGTATATGTAAGGCATACATTTTGTATATTACAAGTACTTGTATATATGTATAATGATTTATGTATATATATATATATATATGTTTTTTTTTTTGTATACTGTTTAAAGACATTCAGTTAGAGCTGTATTAAAGAAACGATCCAATGCTTATTGATTGTGCGTTGGCATTTTGTGCGTTTTGTAAAGCACGACTAATGCTTTCAATCAAAACAACAAGGAATCATCGTAAGGCCACTGCGGTCTGAGCTTTTTAATTTCCTGGCGTGTTTTGAATTTGGTTATGTGATTCATTGCTGCTACCACCGGATGGCAGGAAGGATACTGTAAACGAAAGAGGAGAAAATTTTATGAGTGTAAATTGCAGCAAAAGAGGAAGAACTGTTATCTTTCAATCAACACGAATTTAGCAATGATTTACTTACATTTTGAACAAAATGGCTTTCAGACGTAATGCGGCGGTGCAAACTTTTATTACTTTTCCTACTTAAAAATTTATTTACCCCTTTTTATTTTTAAATTAAAGAAACTGAAAGCACTAAACACATACATATTTAGATACAAACAAACACTTATAGAGAACATGTTCAATATATATGTATTTAAATGTTGATCGTCAACTGATAATTGGTACCGGTTAATAAAAGAGCATAACTGAAAATAAAAAAGTGAAAATGTTGCGAAAACAGCTTGGTACATTTTTGAGTGTAGCGCAAAAAATTTTGTTTCTCATGAAAAAAAACCCCCATAAAGTTAACGAAACACCAAATGAAAATGTGAAAACAAAGCAGAATTCAGAACTGATAAGAGTGATTACCTGGTTAGCTGATAAGTTCAGTTAAGTTTAAACTTGACAGAATGAAATGAAAAATTAAGTCAATAAAATATTGTTGCGCATAAAATAAAATAATCAAATTAGTATTGATAATTACTAAGTAGGTGTATGCAGCTATATGGAACAGTAGACAACGTATATTCGTATAAATCGAAAAAATTAAATACAATTTTTTACTGCACAAGCAAAAAAAAAATTAAAATAAAAAAAATTAAGTAAATAATAATAATAATAAAAATAAATAAAATAACAAATAAAAAATAAATAAAATAACAAATAAATAAAAGAAAATAATATATTAATCAAAAAATTAAGGAAAATAATAAATAAAAACTTTACATAACATTTTTACCCAACAAACAAAAGTAAAATGTTAGAAAAATAAAATTACTATTGTATGTAACATGAATCCTCTTATAAAAAATTAAATATTTTTAAAACTTTAATAAACAAGTATGTCGATTAATATACTAATAAATAAAAATTGAAATAAAATATTTGTACTCAAACATTACTCAAATAAATTATAGAAATGTGGTTATATACATGTAATGTGAAACCCTTAATAAAATACCACCTTAACGTAATTAATTAAAGAGAGTCATTAAAAATTTTAATAACAAAAATATCGATTAATATACCCTGAAACCTTTTATTAAATTGCACCGCAGTCCAAATGTCAAAAACCATTTATAATAACGTATAATTGTCACAGCCAAAGAAATTGATATTACTGTACAACTACAACACATTTAAATGTAACAATCTGTACTCACCGATTATGATAATTAAGAGAACCACACCGATAACACCCATAATGATCATCATTTTCATGTTAGCCCACCATTGTTTGCGTTTCAATTTGCCAGCTTGCTGTTCGAATTGTGAGGCACCGGCTTCCAGCGCATCAGCACGTTCACCCAATTCCGATAGTTTCTGATCGCGCTCCAGAACTTTTTCCACATTCACACGCATAATACCGACCACTTCATCGACCTTGGCTTGGGTTTGTTGCAGTCGCTTCTGCGCTTGATTATTGTTGCTGGGACTGGCAGAGTTCGGAGGCGGGGGTAAAACAGGAAAACTATACAATTTTATACGGGTTAGATTACTAAATATAACAGGGTGTTCATTTCATTTCGTATGCAGAAATTGTCGGCGAGAAGCGTGTCAGACAACGGCTAACCCACCTAAAACACCCTGTATAAACATTTTGTACAATACACAGACAACACAAACATTTGGCTAGACTATGTTCTTTACGAGAACTATTAAGTATTCATTATATGTACGCAAGTAATAGGCTGACAAATACACGATACAATTCTCGTTAAAGCAACTAATGATTGCATGCAGCACCAGCTGTGAATTATTTCTCCACTTGCCCTTATGGAATTACCGAAGTAGTCATATCAAGTGTAATACAAATGTCAGCTAACTTTTTAAGGCCATTGAGGTCATACCGGCAACGGTTAGAAGTAAAGACACAAAAATTATTAATGTATGCTATGTACACACATATATTAACTAATTCTATTTTTGCACTCTGAAGTCACTAATGGAGTTTTAATAAAACGTTATTTGTATCCACGTAGTTTTATGTTTGTATGTAAATTGTCTTCAGCAATAAACCAACCCACGTATTAAAGATAACTAAACAGTAGGAAAATACGAGTATATTTGTGCGTATTTTTGTAGGTGCAAACATATGTACGATACCAATTCTATTGCACTGGCCAAGATGGCGAATATGTGCTAATTGCAATAATAGCACTAAAGTCTAGCGGACTGATAACACACTGACATGTAATGATTATAAATTTTATGAATTATCACACACTACATTAAATAAATCATCATTCTTACTCAGTTGATCCAGATGGTGCAGGAAATTCATTTGGGTTCTCCATATTTTTTTAATTTTGTTGTTCTTACGAACTTTGTGCGTCAATTGCTGGAATAAAGCGAATACCAAATAATAAAACAACTCGAAAATAATCACTAGCTCTCACAAAAGAACTATGCTAATAGCTAAGTCGTCACGCAGTACCGAATGAATCACCACAATAAAATTTCTTTCTTTCTTTTACTTAGCGACTTGTTGCACAGTTCTAATTGAGCGTGAGAACACTTGAACTTACCTTTGTATTTCTTAAAAATCACAACACTTTGTATTGTTTTTCTGTTGTGCGTATTTTATTTATCGCAGAAACAAAAAACACAACCTTTGTAATTTCTTTTAGTTGAGAAACAAGGTAAATACAGAAAGGATCGTGAAAAATTTACAAACTGCTTAGCGTTTTTGTCTTCTTTTCGCCGCTTTGTTGGGTGATGAATCAATGTTCAAACGAAATGAACGTACACGGGTTGCTGTTGGATGCCAACTGTGTAGAAAGGTATGCGTCGATATAGCAGTTCGTATGCAATTACACATGTGGTGTAAAATTCTTTATCCTTCAAAAGTTAGTTAAAAGTGAAACACTATAAATAGAATACTAAAAGTAACTACCAATTATAGTAAACATTTATCAATAGCTATCTATTTTACCAATATTTATTTATTGGGTACAAGTTCGGTGAAAATTTGATAGATACAACACTGCGCAAAACAGAGTGTGCCAAAGAAATTAATATTCTGCAGAAATAAAAGTCGCTTACAACAATTCAAAATATTGTAACAAGCAATTACATTCGGTCGGTTTCAAATGGATTTCAAAAAGATTAATATTGTTACAATCAAATAAAATTGTAGGCAGATTTTACAATAAGAATTTTGTAATCGGCCCACTGCCATGCCCACAAAACGCCAATAATCGAAAACCATAACTAAGCCGCAAATTACGATATAGAACTATGTGCAACGAATCGTATTAATCTGGGCTAAAACTTTTTAAAAAGTGGTTGTGACCCTACCTCCAAATAGGCTTAATGTACATATTTCCCAACCCATTAAAGCTATATCAGCCTAAATTTGCACACGACATTAAAAAGTATTAAAAATGCGATAAATCAGTAAATAAATGTGTCAGGGATATAAAATTTGACAGCCAAAATGGTACAAGAGGGCTCCAATGTAGCCGGTATCAAAATTGAACAAGGTGTGCGGCACTGCTCACCATAAGATGAAAGCCCATATCTCCGGACCTACTCAACCAATTTCATCCAAATTCGTTGGTGATATCATCTTGACATTCTTATGATACCTATTCACTCCCATCTGATAATTCTTTAATTATTATTTTTGAGATTCTTCTCCGTGTTGTGATTGATTCCTTGAGTTAATCAAACAAATTGAGATGGCTTGACGTTGAACGGAAATGGATTTTATGAAATTTCTTTTGATTAGTTTCCCACTGTCGGAAGGTTAATCGAAAACCATTATTAGAATTTTTTATACATGTTGAATAGTAAAAAAACCTTCAAAAGTGAGAACCACTTCAATCAAGAGATAGAAAATTCGTTAAAAAAAAAATATATATAATAACTTTAGGACCAATTTATCTTTAAAATACTTGTGCATACTACGCGGTATGGCTGCAAAAATCAGCCAAAATTCCTTTCTTGTTTCGGCATTGAGACAATAATGTAAATTACTGGAAAGTCTTAGAACTGTTCAGTGCACTTGCACTTGTTAGTAAGGGTGTTGGGTTTAGCGACAATTGCTCAAACACTCATTAAAGATATTGCTATGCAATTACGTCCTTAAGACATAAAAAACTTAGCAAACTAGAATAAGACAGATAAAAATATTGTTAAATAAGCCAATTACATGACTTGGCGTAAGTGGCGCGAAACAAATTAATTTTGAAGTAAATTTTAAGTATAAGAACAAATTGGATTATATTTGATACTGACTAGTATATCTTACTTATAGTAGACTATACAAGATTCAAGTACCGCAACGACGAAGGACTTAAAAGGCTGAACATATCATATAAATAAGTTAATAGTATGACCTTGAAGGCAAAGGCCTCTTCACTTCTTTATGCTTTTCCCTCGTTCATGTATTTACTTACGCAAGAATTCGAACTTGATTATTTTCTGAAGCTACGTGCATTTGTATGTATAATTAATACTTGGAAATGTCGCCAAAAATTAATAGATGAACTTGCCCATACGACGACCTTCTCTAAGGTCCGTTGATCATACGATGGTATCGCCAGCAATTACATACATGTGTGTGTCTGACATACATACATAAGTATCACAGCGCCATAAACCAACATACCAGCAATAATCTTTATTAATTTGAGTGCGGCAACTAAGTAAATGATTACTTACAAACACACATATATGCATGCATACGTACATACATACACACATACAAAATATTTTGTATATATTTATCCGCCTAGCAAGTATACAAATTAATTACTCACTACGAATTCTAACAAATACGTGAATGCACTTCACATTACTCAACTAACCCCAAGCACATGTAAATATGTATGTGTGTTTGCCTTAGTTCACGCCTAAGTTGGGCAATTTGCCGCAGTGTACCGTAAAGTTCATTATGTCATAAATAAATTCCTTATAATTCGAGCGCGTAATAAAGAGGCGTCCATAAATATAATATTTTGCAATGAGATGCCTTGCGTTGTCGTGTTGCGATGAAGCCGGATTCATGGTCACGGTCAGGAAATTAGAAAATTGTAACGAGTTCAACACCCACGAAAATTGGACAAAATAAAATTTGCAAAGACAAGTGTTTACTAGCAAATTGTTTTCTATTTTGGTATACAATTATGTATATTTACATTGGAAAGACTTCTGAGAATAGATAAGCAAAACATAATAATTCTTAAAGAATGTTACTGTAGCCATTGAGTCATTCAGATTGAGAATAGTGGGGGTTCGCTAACAAATAATTAGATCTCGTTCTTAGGAATACAGACACTTATAGGAAAATTAAGTTCTATAATTGCATGCAGATCTTCCTTCACAAATAAAATTTTAAGATCCAACTAATTATTTTCACATTTGTTATCCACCAGGAGTTGACAATATCTGCCAAAAAGTATTTTACTTTAGAAAATTTACGAAAATTATGTTATCAAAAGGTGACACCTACTTCTGCACCTAGTCAAGGATCACCAATATCGTCGCACACACTGTCTTTCCATGCCTTTCTGAAGTATCTTGGAACATTTCGTGAGATCCTCGTTCTCCCAGTAAGCTCCATAGCCGCTTAAGGGATTAACGCTAAGTTCACTGTGAATCAAATTGTTTTTATTTTGTATAAGAGGTTGGCTCTAATGCGAAACAGCAAGTGAAGTCAAGTGCTGCTCTGCATGCATCACAGAGGAATCCTTCTTCTTTCGCTAGTATCAGCACATTATTCCATACCATGAGATATCTGATCAAATTTGACCCGAAGCGGTCCATTTAAAGTGTACACATAAACCGAATCGACAATTCTTTTTCCCAGATTGGTATAACCTTTTTTTATATCCGTGTGAAGTTGAAAATCATCGTGTTTGCCTCTAAGACAAAGCAGAGTATCTCAACATCTCTTACGAATCGACTTAACAGATTTTGGTTAGTGTTTTGGGTATGTATCGTGTCAATGTTAGACTCGTACCAAAAGACCTGCAATCTAACGAATGGCATTCCAAAAATTAGCCGAAACCGTAAAAAAAAAAGCTGAAGGCACTAGCAGCCATTCCAGACGAAGCTTATAACAACTGTGTGAAAAATTAGATTAAGCGTTGGCATGGTTGGATGACTTAGGAGCCTATTTTGAAGGCAATAATAAGACTTCTATTATATTACGTGAAAATATAGTTTTTTTTCTGTCAGTGCGGGTCAAATTTGATCGGATGGCACACCAAACCTAGCGCATAAAGGTCGATAAATATTTATGGTATCTTGAACGTTCCAGGAAGCGGTTTATCGGTTGTGATCATCATTAGGTGTAAGAATCATTGCCATGACAGATGAGGTTTATTAAGTGCATGTGTTGTTCGTGGAATAGAATTTTACCTCATTTGTTTACTCAGTCTAAAGCCATTTACCTATTATTATGAGTAATTCAGGTGACATTGTTCCTTCCAATTTCAAGTTACACAAAATTATCAAAAACTTAGAAGTTTTGATTGTAAGCAGTGATCTCTTCTTCCTCCAAGATCTAATTTGTTGAAGTGTTTAGCATAACTTTTCCAAGAATTTCGCTTATCCTCTCAATATTAGTATTTTGAAAGAAATCACTTAATTCACCTAACTCAATTTTATTAATTTTACCACGCCGCAAAACGCAGAAAATCCACGACATCCGCTTTTCATGAAAAATCTAACTCATCCCACTCAAAGTGTGATGAAGTCGTTGACCTTGAAATAAAGGATTTTTATACCAACTTTCAACGTAATTTAGGTGGAAATTTGCATATGTTTATATAATCGCTTAACATACGCATAAAAGCGTATACATACATACATTTAAATACCAAAGCCCGGCATAGTCACCTTTTTTTAAGTAGACAACCATGTAGAAACCCCAGTTTCCACATTTTTATTGTGTTTGTTTGTGCTTAATTGGTTTTTATATCCTCTCCAGTCTTACTCTAATTATTGCATATGATTTTTATGAATTTTAACTAACGACTTTTCCACGCTCAGTCGGCACTTCGTTTTTTTTTTAATTCTGGCTAAAATATTGAATTAAATCATTGGTGGTGGAGATTATGTGCTCTCGCCGTTGGCGGAGAGACAGACCCAGCCGCCCTGCGCAGTTAATTCGGTCTCTGATCCACTCAGGTCGCTGCGCACGGCTTCTCTTCGGTTCGTTGTTAACAAAAACAACAACAACAACATTAATGCTATGCCAAAATGATTTGAGCCAAACTAAGCTACCAAAAATTATTACAATGCTATTAAGCGGCTAACTGATGGATGGATGGCAAAGAGGTAAATATTAAATAAATACCAGACCAAGAGCCGGGATGCGCGCATTCGCAGTGTGTTTACAAAACAAGAAAGTCAGCAGCTCGCACGCATACTAACTAATTCTAACATTCTGACTTAGCCAATTTCATATCGCCTGAGGCTTTGAATGAGTAGTGCTTAAAATATTCTAAATTAAGACAACTAAAGACAATTCGCCGTGAATGCAAAGTGTAGGACAAATGTGGTGTTAAAGTGAAGAAAGAAGAAAACTTGCATTTGTGTTTTTTAAAATAGAAATTTTGAATTGTGCGCAGTGAGCGTCGTTCGCTTTAAGGAATAAGGATGAAACAACTAAATGTGGTATGTAAAAATCAAAGCTGTGGATATATTGAAAAATACCAGGAAATTTGTGTTAGTTAGGTTAGGTAATTAATGCAGATTTAGTCTAGTTTATTAATAGGCACTTTGGAGAGAATCAGTGTCGGTGTGGAAGTGGCATAAAGCATAAGCATAAATCCTAAATTTTTGAAGTTACATTTAAAACAATATAATGTTTTTGAAAAGAACTTTTTCATTAAGTAATTGACCATAAGATTACCGCTTGGCGGTCAATTTATCAAATATATACGTTTTTAGACTGTTTGGTAAAGTTATAACAGTAAATTAATTTGCCGAACATCTAAGCTTTAACTTATATCGTAATTACTGCC